AATTATGCTAAAATCAGACCTATTTTTAATCAGTTATAGCTCCTTAGGTTGAAAGGTGACCCCCCATTTTCATTACATATTCTGAAAGCACATAAGTTGTAAATATGATTTTATAGATCATAATGGCTTATCGCACATTGTGACGTCATCATATTGGCATCTGAATTCAAAGAAAGTGATTTATAGCTATGACGTCATTTTAGAAAATACGCATTTCAGCGTATCTCGCTTATCCTTGATCGATCGTCTTCTAACTTTGAGTATGTTATAGCTGAGACAATTCTCTTTCATATATTTGACTTCTTTTTACATTTTGATGACGTCATCATGGTCAAAAAAATTGTTTTTTCTGACCCCTACATCTATCTTTCATCTAAAAGTTGATGAGCCCATATCATCTTTACCATTCGTTATTTCTTAATCATATTAAGTGAGCATAATCTTCAGGTCAAGGTTAAATGTCATGTACCTTAATTTTCCGTTCGCGCGACTTAACGTGCTCGTACGCGTGCGTTAACGTTTATATATGCGTAAATCCATGAATATTTTTAATCAGTTATAGATCCTAGGATGAAAGGTGACCCCCAATTTTTATTACATATTCTGAAAACACGTGAGTTGTAGATACGATTTTATAGATCATAATGGCTGATCAGACATTGTGACGTCATCATATTGCCATCTGAATTCAACAAAACTGATTTTATCGATGTCATTTTTGAAAATACTCATTTGAGCGCATCTCGCTTATCCTTAATCGATCGTCTTCCAACTTTAAGTATGTTATAGATGAGACAATTTCTTTCATATATGGTACTTCTGCTTACATTTTAATGACGTCATCATTGTCAAAATAAATGTTTTTTCAGACCCACTCATCTTTCTTTCCTCAAAACATGGCAAACCCCATAATCATCCTAACCATTCGTCATTTCTGAATAATATTAAATTTGCATACACTACAGGTCAAGGTTGAATGTCAGGTACCTTAATTTTTCATTAGCGCGTTTTGACTTGCGTGTACGTGTGCGTCAACATTTATATATGCTGAAAATTGTGCTTATTTTTAATCAGTGATAACTCCTTAGGATGAAAGGTTACCCCTAATTTTTATTACATATTCTGAAAGCACATGAGTTTTAGATATGATTTTATAGATGATTATGGCTGATCTTACATTTGACGTCATATTACCATATGAATTTAAAAAAACTGAATTTTAATTTGTCGTTATTTTTTCATTCATTTAAACGTATCTCGCTCATTCTTGATCGATTATCTCCCATCTTCGTGTATGTTATAGCTAAGACAATTCTGTTACGGAAACTAACCTTCTTTTTTCCTTAAGATGACGTCATCATTGTCAAAATGAATTATTTTTTGGACTCTGCTTTCTTTCTTAAAATATATAAATTCACCGACAGAGGGCGGCAGACTATATTTCGACGCTATCAGACTGATATATAGTTCATATGAAGGGAAAATTCGTGTGGCATAACCGTTTAACAGGCGTTTTTAAATGCCACTTGACAAGGTTCAATTTCTTGTGCCATTACCGTCCGCCCGTACGTGTACGTGTGCATTAAAATTTGAAAATTCTCAATATCACTTTTTTGGTAATTTAAAGCACGTTTCAGGTTTTTTTCAGCATTACAAAATTGTCCATAATCATTAAATTATGAAAATTTTTGACGCGCACAGCACGAACTGAAGCTGGAAGCTAGATTTGAACTCGTCACTCTAAAAACGAGTTAGGTGATCCATTTATCAAGCAAAAGCAATCTATTGCAGTTTAAACTATCAATTATGGATAAATACCGTAGCCAGGATTTTCAAACAGAGCAAGACAATCAAGCCTGCTGCCTTATTTAGGAATCGTCAAAGGTTGATTCTGTACTTCATACTCCATCATTAGAAAAGACTACTCCAATAGCCGCCGTACATAAAACCAGATTGTAATAATTTTTTTAGAAACTCAAGGCACTGTTTGTAAATATGTTCATTATTCTGGTACTGTACATAGTCCTATTTAATCAGGTAATGTGTAAGGGAATAATCCAGCTTTGCGTAATCAATGCAGTATACACAGTAGGCCTTCTGTATGTGCCACCCACCCCATTTTGCCACTAAATTTTAGAAATTTCAATGCATATATTGAAATTAGCGCTAATAACAAACTTATCTATTCTGTGGTTTGCCCCCACCCCCCTTTAAAAAAAATTCTGGATCTTCCCCGGCCGCAAATAAGTTTCCTGTTGAAATAAGCTTCTTTCTTCGTCCAAAAGTTATAAATGCTTTCTATAAATTATGAATTTTTTTTATAAATTACAAACTTGTATTATCTTAAAACAATAAAACCTGAAAAAAACCTTTTCATTTTACCAATGTACAATGTACCTGTAATGAATGCGAGATTTCATAAAAACAATTGATTCAGTCATTCAGTCAAATATTTTTATTTTCTTTTGGAAACAAACAGTACCTTTAAACTAAAGTTACAAAAAAAACATACTCAAGTAACACCATCTCTATCAACTGGCGCCTAACTACATGCCGTGAAAATTGTCCTTGTGGTAATTACTTTCCAAAACATTGATCTCTAAACACAGTAAGTCTTCATAACAATTATATGAAGGGAATATCTTAAGATGTCATTTTCAAATGTGTACCAAACAAAATTACATACAGTAGTTGCCTAATAATGATAAACAATGAATTTTGACCTACATCTCTTTTTAATTTAAAAACTGTTTGGAATGCATAAACATAGACTAAGGCTAAAGAAATCATCTTGTCATCTTTTGTGAATCTAACTTGTGTTGACCTTGTCACTCAGCAATGCTTGTGCTCAGGGCACACAGTACATGTATATATGTACACATTATCACTAATAAGAGGTTGTATGTTTGCGAGTAGAGCAGTCCAGCATATAGAGTATGCATTGAAGTGATACGCTTGTCAAAGTTTGGTCATAATGCAGGAATTTTCATTAATTTTGAACGTTTAATTGACTGGTATAAAAATATGACACACTCTTCCTTTTGCTCAGCAGATCATTAATTTTGACCGTTTAATTGACTGGTATAAAAATATGACACACTCTTCCTTTTGCTCAGCAGATCAATAGTATATGATAAATTTGCAGTTTCTTGGCTGATTTTTTCTCTTGTAAAACACACTTTATCAAATCTGATAATCAATTCCTCTACTGTATATCTTGAAAAATGAATAGATCTCTCAAGCACCATCTAACTGAGAACTGAACTATATGCCTTTCAATACTGCACAGATTAGCTTTAGCTTCAGGAGGAATACAGTTTATATTTGGTGCTTCCATTCCATGGTAGCAAAGCTGAAAAAATAGCCTGCTCACGGTTGGACATTATCATCAAATTTGCAAAGTTTAGACAATTGCTATGAAAGAACTAATGGCTTTTATGCTGGCTAGCTTAAAACCTTGTGGCAGACCTCATGAAGCTTGACAGCACTCATTTAGCAAGAGAATCCACTTATTCTCATCATGGTAAATTGTAAAGACGGGAATACTTGCATAGTTTCTTGTGTAATATCATACACAAAAACCTGAATGAAAAGTAAAAAAAAAAAAATTAAAATATAAACAATATTATAACATGAAACAAAATATGTTAATCATATATCAAACAAAATAAGTTGGTCATCAGGTGTCACTACCAGTATATGTCCATTGAAATAATTTCATTATTCAAATAAACCAAATTTAGTAAGTGCATATAATATATATATATGTGCAATTTCATTTAAATTACAATTCACCAAATACAACATAATGTAATTATATAATATTCAATTTCAATTATAATAAATTTAATTCCACATGCTTTGTGTTCAAGGTTAGATTTTGAAAGCGTACACCTTCCTCCTTATTTTTTTTTTGTATGCATGTGAAAATATGTTTATGGCACTAATGCCCCTTTTGATTTTCAAGTGGTCATGAAAACCTATATCTTTTATCGTATCAGCATATCGAGTGTGTTATGCGCACCGTTTTTAAAAGCCAACCCTATCAACCTTTCATAAGTCAAATGTTTTCTGGAATATGAAATACATTCAGGTTTATACATTTAGTTCATCATCATCAAACTAAATCTGTTTGACACATTTATTGAAAAAGAAATAGTTACCTTAATTGTGTTTAGTATCAGCCTGAGTTCTTTCAAGCAGTTCATGCACAGTGAATATCTACAGCAATCTGGACAAAGAGAATTCAGTTAGTTATACCAAGCGTTTCTGCCTGACTACCAAATCGATTAATACATTAGAATTTCAGAGCAAAGTCTTGGTCCACAGCATCTTGACTAAATAAAACTTGAATGGTGCCTTACATCAGTAATGGCATGAGTATACCTTGATGTCTATATAATAACTGGAAAGTCTAATTGTAAAGTGTTATATGAAATATGTACTACAGAAAAAGTATTCTAAATTGAATTTACTTTTTTGTACCTTTGGTCTAATTATTCAGTTCACAAAAACATTTAAAGCACATAGGCTTACTATCATGACTATCAAACGTTTTTGAAAATTTTCAAGATTTTAGTTCTTGTTACATAACATTTCCTTTTAAATAACACACTTTGTGTTCATCCGCACTGCTTTTTATACACCTAATAAAGAGCACAAAATACAGATAAAAACATGCACAGATAATAAGAGTACCTGTTACTTGATTGCATAAAATAATTGAGTATCAGTGTATCATTTAATACAAAGCATGGATAATTCATATTAATGCGATACATATTATTGTCATACAGATATATTATGATTTGAAACAAACTATTTTATTAAGAAAATATTGTAAAAGATATCTTCTTGCAATTCATATACTCAGATATTTAGTTCATATGTACATTTATCAATTAATTAGTTTTTACTATATCATACATTTTCCATTTTTTATAATTGCTTCGTTAACTTTCATTTATTTATATATTTTCATTGCGACAACATAAAATCTCTATTTTTTTTGTCTAAATATTACTATAATTTTGAAGAATAATCGATGGAAACATTTTAGCTCAAAACATGAGTAGCATCAATCCATAAACAATATTTTGATAAATATATATTAAGAAAGAAAAAGCTAGCTTTAGGCAAGACTAATTAACACATTTGTATTTTGATGAATTTTACTGAACAAGCCATGAATGGCAGACAATGCTTTATCTCAATTTTGCTGATTTTGACAGGGCCTTTGTCTTCATACAATGATCTATGGAATATTATGAGCTGGATACCTAAAAAATAAACAATGCAAAGTGAAAGCACTGTACAGTGGCTTTGAGTGCATAACATTTGACCTAGTGGAGAGATTGAAAAAAGGATGCAACATATCAGAGTTCCTGTCTTACTGGTAGAGGAATAAGTTTATGAAAAAAACAGTAGCAGATAGTGAAAATGGGATAAAATGGAAACACACAACACACTAGATAACTGAGCACTTGCTAATAATATTGTACTAATTATCAAGCATTGTAAAGCAAATACAGACAAAATCAGCAAAATTGCTTAGAGAAGCTTCGAGAGTGGGGTCAAAATAAGTATAAAAAAAGACCAAGATCATGAGAATTTATGAGTGTAAAACTGTCATCTAAACAGATGTAGTTAACAGAGTAGTTTCAGAGGATTACACAGATTCACATAATTTAGAGCAAAAGAGAGACAGGTGACATGCAACATAAAATCACTAAGACAGAAGATCTTTCATGAAACTGAAGAGAATATGAAATTGCAGCAACGTTAACAAGAATACTATAGATAAAGTTTTTTTCAGATGTTAGTAACATCAGTGCAGTTACATAGTTCTAAAAAATTGGAAGTTAACGAAGGCAAATGAAAAACAAATTCACATATTGTTAAAAAAAATGTATGAATAATGAAAATAACATAGGAAGGTAGAATAACTAATAGAGAATCCATGGCAAAACAGATATATGATCAGCCAATGAGAAAGTCAAAAACAGAAAATGGAAATCGACTGGTCATGTCTTAAGGCATGCCTATGGAAATGATTGCAACATTGCCATGACATTGGCAGAGGTCCTAAGTTGGAAACAAGTCATTTCCAGGAGATTTGCAATAGTGGTCTAATGGTGGGGGATGGGCAGAGTTAAATAAGGAAATGGGAAGAGGCAGGGATCAAATTGCATTAATCACACCATGCTTTGAGCGGAACAGTGGCGGCTCTAGGATATAATTTCCGGGGGAGGTTTGACAGGGGACTTGAGCTCGTAGGCTCGAGATGTGGGAGGGGGGCTGAGATGTGATTCCCTTCCAAAATGAGATTTTTTTTGAAGAATAACAACCTCTATATGGCAGGAAATGGCACTGTGACAGACATATGTTGGCTTGGTGTGGGCCTATTGTTATATGTTTTATGGTCTGCTGCCCAACGAGCTCTGTCTATAGCGGGGGGGCTTGACCTGTCCGGGAAGGGGGACTTAAGCCCCCTGTTCCCCGCTGGCACCACCACTGGAGCTGGGGTAAGAAAATTTATGATTATACTACCTCTACATTGTTGGAAATGCCCTCTTAGACTTACATTTTTATAAATATTTTTCAAACCAATTTTTTCATATTTTGGAATATTTGCAGGGCCAGGCCAGCTGCCTCTAATTATTTGAATCTAATTTGGTTAATGAGTTTTCTTAACAAATCTAATTGCATTTTGCTATACATAGTGATATCCATTGGCACTGACTTCCATTAGAAAATTCATAATAAAGCAGTGAAAATATGGAAACTATAGATTTGCAAAGATAGGTTAGTTTCTGGGAGATTCTTGCTTGCTTTCAGGAACATTTATTTATTATTGTTTCTTTGTAAAATATATTAATTGTAAATTTAATTCTTTGTACGTAGAATTCTATGCAAGTTCAATTCTTTGTAAGGTCAATTCTTTGTTAGTTCAATTATTTGTAAGTTCAACTCTTTGTATGTTTAATTCTTTTTAAGTTCGCTTCTTTTGAAAATTCTTTTCGAGATATAGTTCAAAGATACTTTCTGAAATATTGTTGAAAGATATGCTTTCTTAAGAATTTAAAATTAATTTTAAATTCAATTCTTTGTGTGTAGAATTATTTGTAAGTTCAATTCTTTGTAAGTTCAACTCTTTGTAAGTTCCATTCTTTGTAAGTACAATTCTTTTAAAGTTTACTTATTTTGAAAATTCTTTTCGAGATATTGTTAAAAAATTCTTTCGGAGATATAGTTACAAGATATCTTTTCTTACGAAATTAAAATTACTTTTCATTATCTTTTCCCCTTTATACTTTTCCTTTTATCTCTTTCTTTTTTATTTCCTTTCTTTTTTCTTTTTCATTGTAGAGTTATAAAGTAACCTTTAGTATCAATAACTTTCATATCATTTCATTGATAATATTAATGTGAATAACATAGACATGATCTGAAACATTACCAATTAAAATTTAATTTGAATGGCTTCATGGTAGCTATAATAAATTGGAATCACTTTTACCTGCAATGAATCCCTGCAATGAATCTAGACCTTTGCCATAGACATGATCAATCAATGTGTCATTTTCAGTAGTAGAACATGTAACGTATTGTTGGTACCCATTCTGTGACATTAAGTTATTTACTTGAGAAATTTCTTTGAACAAATTTTCATTGAAGTCACCCATTATAATACATTTTGTACTTACTTTATGCAGCTCTTCTAATAGGTCTCTCAAATTGTTACAGAATTGCTTCAAATTATAGTCAGGAGGTCGGTAAATTACTGAAACAACAACAGAAATTGGACAAGTTATCAAAAATGCAATTACCTCTATATTGTTAACACTTATGTTTAATCTACTTGAAAATTTGTTCTTGGTATAGACTGCAACACCACCATGTGCCTGATTTTTTAATTTAGAAGTCAAATTATTTGTATTAGAATATGAGTCATATCTTGCCTGATGATACAACTTATATGAGTCTATACGCAAGTCAAAGAGATCATCATCTTTATTTAGCCATGTTTCAGTAAGGCATATGATACTTGAATTCACAAACAAACTATTACACTGAAGATCAGCAAAATGTTGTTTAAGCCCTTGAATGTTATGTAACATTATGGAAACTTCACAATCTGAATTATAAACTTCTTCATCACATCGTACATATGAATTCATATTATCTAAGCATTTCTTTATGTTTGGATCACAATATATAAGATTAGGATTAAAATTTTCAATAATAAGTCCAGATATTGAGGTGACACGACTGAGACCTACATAGGCTTGTCCAGATGCAAAACTATTTTTAAGGCAAACTACTGCTTTATTCATTGTCATTCCCTGCACTTTATGAACTGTGCATGCATATGCTAATTTGAGTGGAAATTGCTTTCGACTATATTTTTTCCCTATGGACTCTTTATACATTTCAATTGCCTGAATACCAATCTTATCATTGTCAAATTTCACTTTAATAGATACAGGTCTAGAACATTCATTGGACTTTATTATCTCCTCAACATGTCCCATACATCCATTTGTTAACCCCTTTGTAATATCTACATTCTTTATCAACATCACTCTGGCATGTGGTGCAATCCACAAATAACTTGGCAAAGTAGTTTGACGTGAATTACGAGGTCTATCAAAAGCTTTATGTTTTTTTCTGCTGTTAACTTCAATATCTTCTGCTTTAATACTAATGATATCTGTACAGGTCTTGTGTAACACTTCTTTGTTCCATTCATTAACTTGCTTATTAAATGAATAAATATGAAGAGCATCTTGACTTTGTTCACCGGTTTCACGTGATCTGAGAACCTCTAAATCTTCATCAGACAAAATATCATCTCTTTCCTTTGTACGCAATTTGTTCAACAAAAGAGCAAATTCTGCATCTTCCTTTTGTCTCATGATTTGATCTAACTCTACTTGTTTAAAGTTATCCATCCATAATGATCCTTCCAGTGTGTCCTTATATAATGGGGTACCCATCACAGGGGGCAACTGATAAAAATCACCAACTGCAATTACTGAAACATTGCCAAAAGGAGAATCATTACGTGTCTGTTTAATTTGCCGTAAACG